TCTTAACGTCTTTCCCGTTAAAGCCCGAGCTCCCATGTGGTTGCCGCAGACTCCCTCATGGATTTCTCTGAGTATGTAATTTGCGTCTTCATCCCCCACGCATTTAAGAAGAGGTGTTGAAAAACCTTATTTGTATAAGTTTCCCTGCAAAATAGAAAATCTGGCTGACCTGGTTCTTAGCTTTGCAGCTTCTTTAGGATTTTCTGGCAAAGTTTCATGCCGAAGATACCCTAGGATGGGGTCCATCCAGCTTGGTGGGGTTTGTACAGGTAGCACTTCTTCATCCTCAATGCACATAGACGGTTCTGCCAGGTGCTCCACTAGAATTAATCTGTCCAAAATTTCCTACGAAGCTGTTGCCAACCTCGCTAAGGCATCTGTTCTCAAGTTCTCAGCTCTTGGGACATGTCTAATCTTAACTTGCACGAACTTTTTGATCAACTCCTGTACCTTTCTGAGGTAAAGGACCATTTTCTCTCCTTTGGTTTCATAAGCCTCCCTATCTATTTTACTACCAGCTGGGAATCACTACAGATCTCTAACTACTTAGCCTCCATTGAGTGAGCAAGATTGAGTCTGACAATGACAACTTCATATTCTGCCTCGTTGTTTGAAGCCTTAAACCCAAACCTGAGGGCATATTCGACGTCTATCCCATCTAGAGAGGTCAATATCAAGCCTGCACCGCTTCCTTGAGCATTGGCAACTCCATCTATAGAAAGCTTCCATGTGGGGAGGTCAGGCACTAACTACGTTGTTTCCATAGGTGCTAGAGTTGTGAACTCCGCGATGAAATCTGCCAGAATTTGTCGTCTGATCATAGTTCTAGGCTTGAATGTGATGTTAAACTCACTAAGCTCTATAGCCCACTTTATCAGCCTTCTTGAAGACTATGGTTTGTGCAACACTTGCTTCATCGATTGTTCTATTGGGACCTCGATAGTATGAGCCTGGAAATATGGTCTAAGTCTCCTGGTCATAGTCATTAATGCCAAAGCAAGCTTCTCTATTTTTGGGTACCTCTCCTTTGCCCTCCTCAAGGCTCTGTTGTAGTAGTAGACTGGTTGCTAAGACTTGTCTTGCTCCCTCACTAGTGCTATACTAGTTGAGAAATCTGAGACAGCTAGGTAAAGAGTAAGTACTTCCCCCTCCAAGGGGCTTACCAGAACAGGAGGGGAGCTCAGGTAGACCTTAAAAAGCTTTGAATGCTTCTTCACACCGGGCATCTCACTAGAACACCTTTTTTAGGATTTGAAAAAAGGGTTGACACTCATCACTTGATTTGGACACAAAACGATTCAAGGCAGCCATTCTCCCAGCCAAGCGTTGGATCTCCCTTACATTAGACGGTGGTTGCACATCTAGGATTGCCTTAACCTTTTTTGGGTTAACCTCAATTCCTCTATGAATGACTATGAAGCCCAGAAACTTCCTTGCAGACACTCCGAAGGCACATTTCACCGGGTTGAGTTTCATCTTGTATTTCTTAAGGACCTAGAACGATTCTGCTAAATGCGTAATGTGGAGCTCTGCCTTCAGTGATTTTACCAACATATCATCGATATAGACCTCTATGGACGTTCCAATTTGCCTTTGGAAAATTCGATTCACTCGACGCTGGTAGGTGGCTCCTGCGTTCTTTAACTCAAAAGGCATAACCTTATAACAGTAAGTTCCCTGCTTAATCACAAATGAGGTCTTCTCCTGGTTAGTTGGGTCCATCCTGATCTGATTATAATATGAGAAAGCGTCCATAAAGCTAAGCAGCTCGTGTCCAGCGATGACATCTACTATTTAGTCGATACGAGACAAGGGAAAGCTATCCTTTGGGCATGCTCGGTTAAGATCGGTGAAGTCAATGCAAAGTCGCCACTTGCCGTTGGTCTTCTTGACAAGGACCACAATGGATATACCATGGATATACTTCTTTGCCTTGGCCAACACCTCGGCCATGCTTGCTTGAGGATTCTTGGATATGGAGAACATTAGATCCTTTGACTGTATCCCTAATCTTGCTATAAAAGCAATAATTGCGAATTTTTTGTCTAGGACATTTACCTTTAGGGATTCCGAATTAAATCTTTGGACGTAGGACCTTAGATTTTTCAGAGGTCCCTGCTTCACATTTAGTAAACGGTAGCTCGATTTTCTGTATGTCCGAACTCCAATAAAGTGGGACACAAAAGATATTGAGAGCTCTGTGATAGAGGAGATCGAGGCCGGGGGAAGGGAGTTAAACCATGCTAAGGCTGACCCTTTTAGGGTTATAGCAAAGGTGCGACAGCGAACAGGGTCTTGATATCTATGTAACTTCATTAGGGTTTTATAGGTGTTCAGATGGTCCATGGGGTCTCTAGTTCCATCAAAAGCTTCTACCTGCGACATTCTGAATTTCAGTGGGAGGGAAAAATGCAATACCCTAGGAGTGAATGGGGACTCGGTTTGGTGCACCAAGGCGTCCATGGTTACTGGGGTCTTTCCCTTCACAACCTCCTTCATGTGGCTGAGCTCCTGTTGAATATCTTTGAAGCGTTGCTCCCAATATTGGTCTTTCCGCTCCTGCTGGACTGGGCAGAGGTTATTCCTTTCAATCTCATTACTTTGGCTCTGCACCTCTTCATTGTTTTTGTTCCTCGGAGGAGGTTGGGGAACTTGGCTATTTTCTCCTCCTTCACCGGCCTCCCGGAATGGATCAAGGGTTGCAGTTCCCTGTGGGGGGGATCATTCCAGCCTCCTTGGGCTGGCTGCTTCTCCTATGGTTGCTGTAAAAGCTTCAGAAGTTCCTCATTTTGCTTTATCAGGCGCTGATTTACCAAGTAGAGGGCCTCCAACTCGTTGTTTGTGGGAGGATCCGCCATAGGAAGATTGACATCTGTGATTGGGAAGATATCTTGTGGATCCTCGGGATATCTACTTGTGTTCTCCTGCTGGTTCTGCATTCGTGGGGGATTCATTTGGCTTCTACTCATGTTGCGGGTTAAGACTATCAGTTACTGAAGGATCAACGTATTTGTATCGAAACCTACCGTTCCCACAAACAGCGCCAAATTGATGGTGTAATTAACGTGGACGTGCAGAAGGTCGATATTATACGTGGCAACTTGGGTCTAAGCTCCTAGGCTCATGAGGATCATAACAAAGAATTTCAGGGATTGGGGGCAATTACACAGTGAAAATACAATGATTCACCAGTTCGGGAGCTCGGCTAATCCACTCTTCAATAGGGATTCTTGCTCCTTTTGTTTCAATAAATGGGGATGAAATTTACAGTCTGCCTCTCAGACCTTCAAGGATCCTCTCCCGTTATTGGAGGTATTATACAATATTTATAGAGCTGTTCCTTATTCTGTGGGATCTCTGTTGAGATCTTAGCCTTTCATCTGTGAATTCCTCCTTGATTTTTGGAGAATATCTTGGTCGATTGAGAATTTTGTGCCGTGAATATGACTCTTTGCCACCTATAGGGTTCCTGTTAACACCCAACTGTTCCCTTGTCATTCTCGCTACTGTCTCGTCTGGGGTGAGCTCTAACTCTGGTCCTCTGAGCTCTGCATGTCTTGTCTGACCTCCTTACCCGACTTCCGCGCCTGAGCTCACACTTTGAAAGTTACTCTATGTATCATCAGAAACATATTTATAACTGTTTGCAAATTGCAATCGTCTATATTAATCTGATAGTGTTCAGAAATCAGGGGCATCCAATTGTATCTCTTTTTATCAAGAACTTGGCATGTTACTATCTAAAAAAGAAGCAATCAACTAGTGATTTTATACTAATCTCAGAGGAACAGAGAAGCAACAAAACACACTGCTTCTACAACTTGATTCCTTTGAAAATATCACATACACAATAAAGTCAATGTATGTTAAGGCCAATTATAAATTCTGAAGAGCAGATCATTACAGAAGAACTAAATAGCATATAGCTCACTTGGGTCAGTAGAACGACTTGTTAGTCTTATTCGTGCAAGTTGGCCAATTCTAGAAGCTCAAGCTTCTACGATAATTCCTTCATAAACTTCTATGCTTCAAGTGCCCCACTAGCATCAAGTAAAAGCTGTTTGTAAACCAGCTTATTACTTGCTGGACCAAGTACGTCTCAGAGGAAGAAAACTTCTCTACATACTCTGATGAATTCTGGCTTCCCTAAGCAGAGAATTTTAGAAAACTCTCTAATATATAGTGTTGTCCTCACTCTGATTTCTTCATAAGTTCTAGAATTCTTAGAAGTGCCTATAAATAATATCATTTATTGTCTATCTGGAAACTCTATAGCTTCTAGAGTGTGGGTCAATGCTTACCATCCCATTTATACTCTCAGACTTGATTTAAGCATGATATCTTTTCCGCTAACTTAGCCAAATGCAATTCCTTTTTCTTCGATATGCCCCAATTCGCTCTGCATCTGCTTCTTCAGTTACTTCAAAATATTTTTGCATTGATCGACGATATGAAAGTCTTTGATGGCAAAAAATTCCAGTAACTTTTTAACAAGATTTGGGCACACAATCTCATCCATTTTCACCATGATGCTTTGATTTCCCTACCCAGTAATGAAACCTTAATCTGTTGGATGCAGACTAGTACCATGGTGAATGTATCTACACTTGAATACAACTCCAAGTCCCATATATTGGGGGTCTCGTCTGTGTTATTCCTATAAGTGACTTGGTGAAGCAACCACCAGAACTGGTGGTCTAGTGGTAAGTAATCAAAAATTTACTCGAAATCACCTCAGAAATTTCCGCAATATATAATTGAAAGCCAGAACATCAACAATTTGTCCCCAAAGAATTCCAAAAATTAATCAAGAAGATTTTGTAAGCCACTGCTACTGACAGACCAAATAGCAGTGACTGAGGTTGCATTTGATACCACAGGGAAATGAATGGATCAAGGTCCCTAAGGCTCCCGGTTTCTCAGTCCAAGAGACTACGGTATGATTACTAGAAATATAATTCTACTAATAAAAATGATACAATCACAAGTGTCACATTTCTCTCAAAATTTACTATAGATGAACACATACGCTGATGTATAAATGTTTATTAACACAAGCCCAATGAAAATAACAATAAGAGCCAAAAAAAAAAAAATAACTTACAAGTCGAGTGTTCAATCTACTCTCAACAACCTAAATCAGATTAAATAAGATGAAGACCAATATAACTTCCTAAAAGGTTGCAGCTATCATATAGTTGAGGTTCTGCTATTTACCCCAAATAACATGTTAATGGCAGCAAAACTGCAACCATGTACAAGATAGCATTTTTTTTTCCATATTAGGTTAGATCTTCCCCAGAAATAGTGGCATGAAGCTCTTTTGCTGTCCATGTAACTTCTGCGAGGCTTCGTAAAGGAACAGCGATGTCCTCTGCAATTGTCATCAACAAGACCCTACATTCTACAAGTAATCAAAGTTATGGGAGATTAAGACTTCAAATTCAAAAGTTCATTCATGCATAATCTCAACAAAGTTTCTGCATGCAAGTTTCGCCACACTATAGTCGTCTATTTATAGCTTGTCCTTTTCAACTGGATGCTCAAGCCTGGCAAGTACTGGGTCCTGTCTACACAACAATTGAATGCATAAAACCAAGATGACCACAGAATTTTTGCCATAGCTCATTTACATGAAACCTTAACTGAAAATAATGGCCAGGTGCCATTTAGTAGTGTATTTGAGAATCCATTATGATCCCCTAAAACTAAAAGGTTTAGAACTCATAACCAGCCACAAAATTGATATATGGAGAACATAGTAATGCTAAAAAGAACAAATTCTATGGAGCAAGAGACTGAAAAAGTTGGTCTTTCAGAATCAAAGTATCAATAACCAATAGCTTCCATCCTCATCAGAAATCCTAGGAAGCTTATTTCTTGCACACAAGTAACATTAATAATATTTACAATAATGAAGAAGCATATTGTTGGAACTATTTTCGACAAAACTGCTTTAAAAAAATTGCTAACCTGGAATTTTGCTGAAATTTAGTAGAGACATAGAAGCAAGAATCTTGTGCTCAATCCGCTCACCATTTTCCAGAATTTGCTTCAACCGAGAGATGAGAGCTGAGAAGGCAGATAGCTGGAACTCCGCATCAGGAAATGACGGAAGTGTAGAACTCAACCATGCCACTGTGGTAAGACACACCCTCACCACATCAACTTTGCCAGAACCTAAACACCTTGAAAGCATCTCCAAAAATGATTTCTTGCCATCACCAAGAAGTGATGCTGACAAGTTTGTCAACCACTCTTCCCTAGCCTCTACTTCATCGCCATCCTATATTTGATGATTAACGCTTTAGAAAAAGTTTCTTGCTTCAACAAGTAGCAATTTAGTACAGACATGCAAATTTATTGATTACTATAAGCATAAAGATTGCATTCCATTTTTGTCCCTCCCCTCTTGCTAAAACTATGTTTGTGATTTGGAAAGATTTTACGAGTATAGAAAACTAATTCTGAGTAAGCATACTCCTCGGGAAGGGGCCAATCAGCCGTGTGGGGGAGTAATTCAACAGTGTCACAACGTCCTCACAATTTCAACACAGAAATTTAATTGAACACTACTGGTAAGATTGCAAGACATAATTCTATCACCATAATGAACATAGGAAGAAGATCAGAAGCAAACAAACCATGCCACTGGAATGAATGAATACTTCAGGCCAAGTGCCCAGGATGAGCCGCTTATCTGGCAGCCTTTTCTTTTTGCAGTGAACTTTAGTTTTAAGTACATCACAGTCTGTTCAAATTATATCTAACATCAACAGATATATAAAGCCTAGCTTTGTGGGGGAATATAACTGGAACAAATGCAAGATTTTGTACTTGAGTTTGAAAGTTTAACTTCCTTGCATTGTTTCCAACACCAATTGGCTCTAGCAAATTAAGATTTAAAAGGTTTAAAAAAGAAGAAAAACCCACAGAAATAAAGACCTAGAGCAACATAAGAAACGAAACGGTCAAACATTGGAACTGCATGTAAGTTCCTAGATCCTGTCCCAGAATGTTAATTTGAACTAATTAATCATTAATTGGAGAAGTAAAAATGACCTGCTGCCATGTTGTGGCAAAAAAAATACAAAATCAGTTCACTATTAAGTCAGTAAATTAGCATTATGGTGAGATTACACAAAACACAATAATTATGCATTTTATTTCATATATTATAGACAATCACAGACATTGCATATGGGCTATTACTTAGTCACCAAGATAAGGTGAAAATTGTCAGCAAAACACATGTGATTTAAGGACGTCACACGTGTTTGTAACAACAGAAAGCTCCCAACTAGATAAACTAGGAAAATGTGTAAAAATTTAAAAAAATGCTACTCTTGTCATAGGATGCAAAGCAGAAAGGTGGACAGATATCTGTACAGAGAGATACACGCACACACACAAACATGCCAAGAGAGAGAGAGAGAGAGAGAGAGAGAGAGAGAGAGAGAGAGAAGAGAAGAAGAAGAAGTAGGTAAAAGAAAGCAAAACTTTTTTTTTTTTCCCCTGAATGTAAAACGTAAAACTTACTGATGGAATATTGTCATCAGCTTGTACATTGTCAGTTTCCTTATCAAGAGCATCTGATTCAGGACCATCAAGAAATCCAGCTTGCTTTAGGATCCAATCCTCTGTCATTAGTTTTCCAGCGAACGAGAAACGACCTCCTAGGATAAGGAGTGCTCTGCAACACTTTCCTCGAACTTTCTCATCAGACAAGCTGCTTTCCATAGCCTCTGTAATGGCATCAACAGCCTCCTCTCTATAGATGCTATACTTCTGAGGTTCTACCTGCAAGTTCCAAGACAAGTTCATCTCAGCAAATCATGTTTTCATAATGTAGCTTTGAGACATTGACATAACCTATAATTTGCTAGAACTGACTTCCAGATGATTAATGTCGGTGTCTATGAATTTTGACCACACCTCAGAAAATACATCAAGCAAGATGATTTTAAGAAGGTCTTAAACATGTGAGAAGGTTTCCCTGACCTTCTGCAACATTTTTTTTCATAACTTCAGTGTTAGAGAATATTTTGAGAAGAGAACCAGCTTAGTTATATTGAAGTTTTGATCATCAAATTTGTATTATTATACTACACCTTATATCATCAGTTGTTTAGCACTATCAGAAGAATGGAATGCCAAAAAAAAAAAAATATCAACTATCAAATTGTGAACATAGTCAAAACTCAAATAATCAAGTGCTAGGGTTTAGGTTTAGGTTTAGGAGAAAGAAGAAGAAAGAGAAGAGAGAGAGATTGAGAAAATAATGTGTACGATGTGTGTTACAAACACCCTATCACCTATTTATATTAGATTCATATCAAGGACAATTACAATACTAGGACTATAGAACACAATAGGAAAACAACATAATAGGAAAGTAAAATAGAAAAGAAAATCTCTAACAATAAAAAGTAAGTCTCCAACACTTCCCCTCAAATTGGAACATAGAGATAAAAAAATGCCCAACTACGAACAAAGGTTACTAAAGGTAGACCGTGTCAATGGTTTGATAAAAATATCACCAAGTTGATCAGCAGACTGCACATAAGAAGTAATAATCTCCTTTCACATTAAGAAATCCTAAATAAATGACAATCAACTTTGATGTTTTTGGTACGCTCATGAAATATTAAAATACCGAGAAAAAACCTGGTTAGCTGATTGTCACAATGCATTTGCATAGAACATCATACATCAACACCCATCTCACGAAATAGAAAGAAAACCTACAACATCTCACATGCAGTATGAGCCATGAAATGACATACGGGCTCTGCATTAGAACGTCTTAGCACATTTTGTTACTTCTGGCGCCAAATAGCAAGATTACCACCAATAAATGTACAATAACTAAAAGTAGATCATCTATCATCACGAGTACTAGCCAATTAGCATTAGAAAATTCAGTAACAGTTAGGGGTGTCAATGGGCCAGATTGCCCATGGGCTCTGTTACCCAGCTTGAAAAAAATTAGCTCAATAGTTGGCCCGCCCGAGCCCAAGCCCAATATTTGGGCCTACTCCCAAACCCATTATCCAACCAAAGAACCCATCTTCCCGTCTAGTCAGAATAGGCCGCCCCCTTTCTTACATTAAATTATTCATAAATAAATTATGTATTCATAATTTACTTTTTTTTATCTATTTTGACTCTACTTTTAATTCAAAAATAATAAGTTATAAAAATATTTATTATTTCTAAATGAAGTTGTATATAAAAAATCTGTTCAGTAGGCCCGCCCAACAGACCTACCCCGGGAGTAAGCGAGTTGGGCTGCGGGTAGCCTATCCCTACCCAAAGTCCAGGTTGGCAAGCCTGATAACTCACCCGAGTAAGGACTTGAGCTTACTCTATCCAAGCACAGCTCAATGAAAAATTCACGGGTCGAGCCCGGTCTGGCCCATCGACACACCTAGTAATAGTTAAGGAGGACGGCGGCTAGTATAACAATCCTCTACTCTTGGTGCTTCTTTCAAATACCGAAGAATACAACATACTGCTTCCCAATGAGGTTTACGAGGAGTATGCATAAACTTACTAACAACACCAACAACACAAGTAACATTAGGACATTTAACAATGAGATAAATTAGTTTACCAACTAACGGGCTTACTTTTTTAGAAGAAGTCGAGCACCTTCCAGACGTAATAGTGAACAAGTCGAATTTCCTGTTTTTCTTTAATTTTAGCAAATATTGAATTTGCGTTCGCCCTCCTCCTTGGTTCTCCGCCAAGGTGCCGGCATGTGATTAGTGCATGATCTCCATCGCTTCATCACCTGATAGACATCTCAATAGAATTCCTACTCCTTTGAATAACTTGCCATCATTCACGATATACCTTTTGGCAACCTTTGAGTTGGGAAAGAAGACTGGAACTGATGTTCCAAATTATTACGAATCCTAAGCCAACTGAGTTATCTCGTTTGGTGTGGGCATCAGTTGAAGTTTCAATTGTTGTAAATTATCTTTGAGAAAGGTATTCTTATGGGAACTTATCAATAAAGTGACCCTTTTTCAAAAGACTTAGGCTCAATCATAGCTATCTTTTTTTTTTCCTGTCAGATAACCTCTTGATTTTGAGCTACCATGTTATTCTTAAGTATCTCGTGGTTTCTAATAAGAGCAGCTTTCGACATCTTTAGCATAAACAGAATCATTGATTTGTTTTTTCCTAGTGACTTCACTTTTAGTATTCAATTTAACCGGTTGGATCTATTGGGGTATCAATCGTGCATGCATCAAGGGGACCTTTTTAAGGGAATAAGTCTAAGACGTACTTCTTTTTGCATAAACTAATACCTCCCTTCAATCGGGCTACTTCAACGTCAAGAAAGAATCGAAGAAGTCCTGAGTATTTGGTGTAGAATTGTCTTCTGCAATAGGTCTTAAAATAGGCAATACCCGTTGAGTCATTAAAACTAATAACAATGTCACTAATAGCAGTATCATCGACAAAAACAATGAGAACAATGAAACTTGTTGCGAATTTGTGTGTAAACACAATATGGTTTGAATTCGAGTACAGAGAGTCATACTGAAGTACAATCGCACTAAATTTATCAAATTAAGCATGCGATGATTGCTTCAGGCCATACAATGTTTTCTTCAACCTAAATACTAATTGTTCATTCCTAGAAACAACATATCCCACCAGCTGAACCATATATACTTCTTCTTGTCGATCCCCATGCAAAAAAAACATTCTTTACATTTAGCTGGTAAAAAGGTCAATCTAAACTCGCTACAATAGAAAGTAGAACACGAGAAAAGGAGTCACAATAATTCACACCATATGTCTAAATGTAGTTTTTTGGCAACTAATCGGGCCTCAAGGGCTCAATAGAGCCATCGAAAAGATACACCCATTGACAACTAACTGGCTCCTTAGCAGGACGTAATGGAATGAGGGCCCATGTCTAATTCTCATGAAGATCTTTCATTTCTTCATGCATTGTCAATTTCCATCAAAGAGATGATAAGACCTATTTAAAAGTGCTAGGAAAGAACAGAGAAGATAATGATAATGCAAAACAATGAAAAGATGAAGAAAACGGATGAAATGAGGCAAAATTAGAAATAGGATGTTGTGTACAACTACGAATACATTTTTGTAATGCAATGGGTAAAGTAGACGATGATGGAGTTTATATTTAGTCTCCAATCTTGAGATTAAATCAATAACCCTTACAATCCCTTCATAACTCACGCGCATCCGGATTCCTACTTTTAAATCAATTTTTATATCTTCACATTATTTACCAACTCGATTAACACTAATTCTTATTCCAGAAAAATATACTTTACTCGGCGAGATGACAGTTTATCACGATCATAACCAAGTAGATTGACAAAGGCAACACAACCAAAGACCCGAGGGCCTTTTTTTCAAGAGGTATTTCGAGAATCAACCAACCAACAAATCCGCACCCCAGGTGACTCCTCCACAGCCTCCTCTCACCCAATGAAATAGGATGAATCAAATCAATAAGCTTATTAATTGATTCAGAGCACAGCGAAGCCAAATTCAATCAAGGCAAGTGGACTTACTTTTCCTAATGCTGAGTCATCCTATTCCAATTTAGCTATGCTAATGGAACAGGAAAATTTTTCAGATGATATGGACCCCAAGAGATAAGCGAGAAGCCCCAATTGCTTAAGGGTCACACTCTGTCCTGCTTGGTGGACGAAATCATCTCTCCTTTTTTTAAAATTATTTCTCCCACACACCTTTGCCCTCTTTCACCCAAAATGGGGGATGCCATGCAATTAATAAGATAAAGTCAACTAAGAACAACATCAGCCCTCTATGATTTTGACACAAGCAAGTTAAACTTCAAGGTGCTATCAACATCTAATAAATGACAATGTTTACGTTCAACAATACCATTTTGTTGGGAGGTATGTGGACAAGAAGTTTGATGGATAATGTTGCAGTCACACAAAATATTTTCATAAATTATTTGAGTATACTCAAGGGCATTGTAAAGCTGAAGAATTTTAATACATATATCAAATTGAACCAGAACTTCATTATAAAAGGTGATAAAGGTCTTACATAATTCCGATCAACTTCCATAAGAAATAATCAAGTCAAACAAGAGAAATCATCAACAAAGGTTATAAAATACTGAAAACCAAAAATATATTTAACTCTTGCAATACCCCAAATGTATGAATGGACAACAATAAAAGGACTAGACCGACGACTTGAAGAACTAGGAGGAAAGGACAATGATGATGTTTGACTAATTAACAAGCCTCACATTCTAATATAGAGAGAGAACTCAAACCAGTGATAACTTAACAACTTCTGCAAGGAAGGATGACCCAATCGAAAGTACCACTAGAGAGAAGACACGGTAGAACTCAAGGTAGGAACAAAACCTCCGGTATTAAAACAGTAAAGTCATTGCTCGCATACCTGAACCAATCACCTTAATTGATTTAGAGATAACAAGTTAAAGGAAAATTTTGGAACAAACAAACCAGAGATTAATGATAAAGATTGAGTGGGATGAAGATCATCAGTCCCATATACTAGTCGAAAAAAACCATTAACTAATAGAATCCGTAAGTCAGACAAATGAAAATTAAAAAATAAGGAATAAATGCTAGACATATGAGCACTAACTCCTAAATCAATGACCCATGAGGACGAGAAAGATTGGGTAATCCATTAACAAATAGTGATAGGGGTAGTCAAATGTGAAAAAAGTAAAATGAGGTATCTAAATTAAGAAGAAAGATCATCATAAGAATCAGAAATAGATGTAATTGGACAATCGATAGAAGTTTGACGCATTCGAGAACCCAAAGTATCATTAGAAGCTTGATTAGCATATGATGGTCTCCCATATTTATCCCAACAATAATCTTTAGTATGTCTTGTGCCACCGCAATAAGTATACTTCCACTAAAAACGATTACCACGACTAGAACAACTGTAATGTCCACCACGGCAAGTACTTCGATCACTACGAACCCCACCACAACATCACGATTACTCTCGCTAGATATTAAGGCACAGTACTCCTTGTATAGATAAAGAAGTCCTATGAAGATGAGAGACAAAAGTTATATGTCTAGTCTTATCATCCACTAAATGAACATATCTAACTAAATGATCCACCAAAGGGATCTTTACGTCCTCCAAAATTGTCATACTGAAAATGACTATCAAAATTGGCCAAAAATAAACTCACTGAAGTTATTAGTCCAACCATGCATCCACCACAAGAGCTGCCCAAAAAAATACACAAGAGTGAGACACTCCCAAAACAAGTCAACCTAAAAACAGATGGGTTAATCACAAACACATGTTAGGGTTTTGGTCAAATCCCCCCTTTCTACAGAAATGATACCCACTCATCAAGAACAAAACAAAAAACAAAGATTATAGCAATGAGACAATCGTAATTTTAGCAGCGACGAACAACAATCACAACCAAAGGAACTCATCCATTGCCATATTAACTTCTCAAACATGATTTAGGATCCATAGATCTTCATACAATCAATCAAAGTTTCTCGACGAACAGTAACCAGCCAATGAACAGAGTAACACATGAACTGTAACTTATGAATAGTGCCCCCATGAATAATAATCGATGAATAGCGGGTGGAGAAGAGGAAGAAAGAAAAAAATAAATGAAAGAGAGGGACTGACTATAACAAAGCTTTGTTACTAAATTGATACTCAAATAATCAAGTGTTAGGGTTTACGTTAAGGGGAAAGATAAGAAAGAGAAAAGAGAGAGATTGAAAAAAAGTGTGTATGATGTGGGTTACAATCGCTCAATGATCAAAATTTTGTTTCGGTCATCTAGAAAAAAAAAATATTTCGACATATTTTGAAAACTTTTCGACCCGTTTTGAAAACAGAATGAAAAAAATTAAAAATTATTTTTTCAAAACATTGGTCGAAATATATCAAAATATCTTGAAACTTTATAAAACACCTCGAAATATTAGAATTTTGATTCCAACACTGATTCATTTCGGTCTCCTTAGAAATGGAAACGATTTGGATGTTTCGATCGTTTCGAAATGATATTTTAATCCTTGCAAACACCCTATCACCTATTTATATTAGATTGATATTGAGCACAATTTCAATATTAGAAAAGTAGAACACAATGGGAAAGAAACATAATGGGAAAGTACAATAGGAAAGAAAATCTCTAACAATAGGAAAGTAAATCTCCAACATATTTGGAATTACAATCTATAGATGCATTAAGGTACTATCCAAATTACCGCATTAGTTACTCAAGTATATCAAAGTAAAATAACAACAAATTGAATCAGTCCTAGTCTTTCTCAATTCTCACCAATGGTTACACTTCAAATTCCAGTGACTATTCAAACTACCAATGTTAATCATTAGTGCACATTTCTGAGGTAAAAAAATTTCACGCAACTCAAACGGCATCCGCATTGTCAGCCTTGTTTATCAATATATTAGGTTTTCAACTGTTATATTGAAATGGGCTGGCTTCAAATTAAGTTTCCCCACAGTTCACACATTAATTTGGTTTTCTTTGGGATTCCTGACTCCAACAGATCAATCTACCTAGTTAAACCATGCTATACAGTAACATGCCTGTGTATTAAATAAACACTATTCACAACATGGATTATTTTTCCAACCAGTATAATTAAGTCAATTAGATTTTGGGTGATCAAATCTCACACGTGCACACATTTTATTTACATCATTGAACATATATCTTTTTTTTTTTTTGATTACCAGAAGATCTTTTATAAGTTACTAGTTACTCCGTAACTCCTTTGTTTAAATACTCAATGATACATCTTATGTTCTTTATATTCTACTTGGTAACCAGATTTGTTAAAAGGCAAATGACAACTAATTTCTTATGTCCATTTTCATGAATGATTGAAATGGTCAGAAACAACGAGACAAATCAATTATAGTATACGTGAGGTGAGGAAATGGCCCAATGGTTACAGGGTTCAAACTTTACCCCCTCCCCCCCAAAAAAAAAAAAAAAGAAAGAAAACCCCAATTTTTTTTGAGTATACAATCATCTTTCGCACAACTCAAGTTACAGTGTTTGCTGCTGCCACGTAAATTTTGCAGGCCACAACACAAAAAATTTAGGTAAAGTAGCAGCTCAAAATTTTAGATATTGAGGCTGCAGAAAATTAAGGAGGACCTTATCACCCCATATGATATGTTTAAAATTCAATGAGAAACCAGTTTAATTAATGGCCCCCATTGACTGATATATTTAACCAAATATAAAATGCATCATTCAAAATGTATAGGAAAAATTATAATCAAGGTAATTTTAATTAGAAGGCTCAAGTGAAGCTATGAAGTTAGAAGCTTGCAATCTAAAATTCTAATTAGAACATAATTAGGACACACTCAAGATTACCATCTGTGAAACCGATTTAGCAGAATCCTAAAACCACAGAATTATTCCTCATATGAAACAAGGAATAAAATATGTCTTCTCTGAGTACCTCTCATATTTCATAATAGAGTTCTAAATTGGCAAAGATATTGCATAGATGGTGCCAGGACATGGAGTTAAGTAGAAATGCAAAGCTTCTATTGAAGATCATATAAACACCCTAAGAAACATTTAATTTGCAGACATACTAGAAGATCCAAGTGTAAAAGGAGAACAGCAACGAGGGGTCGGTGCTCTGGAGGACAACTTTGGAGATAGACAAGCAAAACATGCATTGTGTTCACTATCCCTTTATTTTGTAGGCCATTTAAGAAATAATTTATGTCTTTCCTCCTGAAATGTCAAAGACAGTAAGTTAGCCAATACAAATAACCACTAGAAACCATGCACCGTATTGCAATTACAAGAATAAAGTCTATCATTTGGGCAAGCATAAAATATTCAAGTAACACAAAAGCAAAGAGAGGCACAGTGGATTTCAACATTTAATTTTAGACTATCACATCATCAGCCCTTACAAAATTGACATAACTTGGAATATAAGAGCAATTGATAATTCTATTTGATCATGAAACATTCAGTTCCCATTTCTTGTATTTGAGCAAATATAGTCTGAAAGTCACTAGAGCGTCAAACAAGAAAGCCCTCATTGTTTTCCTTAGCTTTCTGCTATAGAACTACAGTTATTTGCACTGAGCGAAGTTTTTATCAATGTTAAATAAAATTCTGGAAAGAAATCCACCATGTAATGAATGCACGTCGACTTAAGAATACGTTTCATGCAACAAAGAGAGGAGAAACCAGTAGTACAAATGGTTGCACATGGAGAATGCATCCAGGCAAGTCAAAGAGAGCCAAAATTTAGATGCAAACAAGTTTAAAGATCAATTTGAGGATGAGGAGAAGCTTTGGGGGTGGGGAATCATATAGAGATGAGGGTTTAAAACAAGTAACAAAGAACACACAGCAAAGGATGTTAATGGAAGGGAAGAGAGAATGCCTCCTGACAATCCCCCCCACCCCATATAATCTTATTAACTCAAAAATGGGCCACACTTGATTAGCTTGTGGTGGCCTGTTTGGTTTTGCCAAGCCAGGACATAGTGCAAAAGAAAAAATTATATGTGACAAGCTACTGGAATGAGAGTCAAAACATGAAGCAATTGATGCACAATACACAGACAAAAAAAAACCGAAAAAAATAGAATTAATAATCAAATAAAGAAAAAATAGAAACTAAAAAAGGTCAAAGACGACCTACCTGTTAAGGCAAATCAGTTCAATTAGCAGGAACACTGCATTTCTTCTTGACGTTGCCTGCTTGCTGTGTAGCAGGTCAAGAAGGCATGGTTTATCAATGTTTTTAGCTACATGATTTCTGCATCCAGCATCTGCTTCAATACAAAAGACTAACAATGCAGTCACACACGTCTTCTCTTCCAAGTTTCCACTACGTATTTTTCCAGTAAGGAACTCCAGCCCTCCTAGAGATATAAGCTGTTTGGCATTTTTTATCCTTTCCTCAGTACTTAAAGAAATCAGAAGCTGCTCCAATCTGAAAACATCTGCTTCTTCCTTGAATTTCATATGTTCCCCTGAGCTCCCTGGTACCCGAGAGGCAAAAGCCAAGAGATTCCTATAGCTTTCTGACTTCCAGCTATCCATAACACGCTTCAAAATGAAGTTGGTGAGTGGAATAGATAAACATTCCAACATTATGCCCGTTACTGGGCATGTCCTATTTCCTTTGTCAAACCATTCTGTGATAGCTGCTTGCTCAAACGTTTGGCCAGTCTCTAAAGTGACAGGATCTTCAAAAGGAAGTCCAGTCAAAGGGCATATAAAATCCTTCAGGATAATGGGCAAGACAGGTCCATCAAAGTGATTAAAGTTTGCATGCAATTCTGCACTGAGAAAATGTAAATATGAGTAAAGCATTCAGAAGTTCAACACAAAAGGTGAACAACTTCTACAGGGATTCTCAGTCACCCACCTCCCATGGATGGCCTCATTATAGTTGGCTGCATTTAAGAGTTAAAGATCTGAGATGTACAATACTTTATTAAAAAAAAAAAAAAAGATAAGGGGATGGCTAAGAATTTAATATTGCTACCAAGCCATGAGGGTACGCCACATCTTCAGGGTGTGGCAAAAGGGTAGGATCAATGAGATCATCAAATTCCTCAGTTTGTTTTATTTCAAAGACAGATTTTGCTATCTTCTTAAGTGCAAGCTCATTTTCTTTTTCATCTCGAAGGACATGTGACATATGTGTGCTTTCTGAACTTCCATCCAATCTCCTTGCTTGCTCAGCTATTATTTCATTGTCCTACAGATATGATGAGCATAATCATTTCAGGGTAAAACATAAAGATGAAAAAGTAAGGAACTTAAGGTTTATCACTTTCCATGAATAGAAAATTAGAAAACCAACTCAACTGATTTTGGAACCTCAATTCCCAATTATCGGGATTTGGCTAACAATGTGACCATAAGTTTTTCTGATATATCTACCCCCGCTTCATAAACGTGAGGATTTTCCAAACCTTACAGCGCCCCCCCCCCCCCCCCAAGGGTGGGAAAAAAAAAAGAATCCACTGTAGGAAGAGAGCATTAAAATAATCAGCTCAGGAAATCCTACTACAGATTTAATTCCAGTATTATATCAGATAACCAAGAGAAAAAAAAAAAGGAGGTTTTGATCCTTTTGCTAATAATAAGAAACTTCTAAAATTAAAATAGTATTCAAAAGGGTTTCAAATCTAGCAGGTCTCCATACACACAGAAAATTAATGCTAAAAAGATTAAATACCTAATTAGTAAAGGCAGAAGGCACATGTCTCATGCATAAAAAAAAACTCAATGTTAGGCAACGAAGACCCAATGAAATTGTTGATATAACTCCTGTCATACCCCAGAAAAGTTTTCAAAATATTTTCTCAACAAAAAAAATTTCAGCCAGCACAATACTCAATTCCCAAAAGTAATACACCACAAACAATATCCTAATCTGCAATTTTGAAAAATGTCAATATTGTTAGTTAGCGGTTCAGCATAAAGATCATAAAGATCGCATTAAAAATCACTTAGTTAAATTGTGATTTCCTTACAGTCCTCATTAAAAGAGAACTCTGATATCTGTCAGCAGAATCCACCAATAATTGCTGAAAAGCCCCTAAAAGGCATCAAATAAAATTGCATGTGAGATCAACCTACTTACCACAGGAAATGCACTGTCATGTTCAATATCCTGCTCCGTGTGTTTAACTGTTTCAGTAGAGAATGTTAATGTCTGTTTATCTTCAACAGCAGGATCATCAGTGCTTCTTCCACTATTATCAAAGTTTTCTGCCTTGTAATCTTCCACCTCAACTCCGGGTTTACATGAACGGCCAAATACTGCATCATATAATTTTTTACTTACCATTGGCTGAGGTGAGAAAGGACCTGCAGGACTACCCATCTCCGAAGCATGGTCATGCAGACCTCCCTGCTGACTTCCCTGAAAAGATATAGAAGGAATCTGGATAGAAGGAAGAGAAGGAGCTTCAATTCCTTCTGTAAGCCAATCCTTGTAGTAAACTGAAAACTGGTAAGTGCTAGTATCCAGAATTTCATTATACACTTTTTCGAGAAGTTGTAGCTTTCTTGTCTTGCTCTTGCTTAATGTGTCTGCCAGTGAATCAGCTTCCTCGTCATACCAAGCTTTCAAATGTGACAGATGTGGGAGAAATAAATAGTCCCACAGTTCAGGCAACAAAGTTGTTCGAGCCTGAAAGGGTGAATCACAAAACACCTGCAGAAGATGCTTTGCTGCTATCCTGTCTTTTTTCTGTAGTTTATATATCACACTGAGATAGAGATGAGCACAAGCTGACAACTTAAAATTGGGAATCCCATGCGTAAATCCATATTTTAATTCATTAGAATTGAGACCTGTAATCACACTAAGCTGCAATGATGCTTTTTTCAACTCTTTTGCACTTGTACGCTCCTCAGCAGCTCTTTCAACTGTTTCTATAGCTTGTTCAAGATTGGCTATGACTTTGCTTTCAGTATTAAGGCCTTCTTCCAATCCAGAAAAGTCTAGAGAAGCAGAACTATTGTGATGAAGTGACGTCCTAAAATCCTCATCCTTAAGAAAACATTTCACATATCCACACAGGATAGATATAATGGCTTGGACAGCAACTTCATGTAGAGCAGGTTCAGCTAAGGTCTTTTCAATATCCACTTGCCTCCGACTTTTACTTTCACCAAAGCTTTTGTTGTTCTTTGAACTTCTCTTTGAGGTTGTGTAGGCGGTCTCACGCTGATTCATACTTTTATCCTGATTACCATTGAAACTCGTACGCTCAGGGAGATTTTTCTTAGAATTGGTGCCATGCCTCTTCTCTACCTGCATATCCTTCCCAGGAACTGCTCTGTGCCTCCCCCTTTCCTCATTTGCACTAATATATGTATCCTCGCTTCTCTCATAGCTGTACACTTCATTCGAATATATATCTTTATATCTCCCATATTCTTTCACTGCAACCTCAACTATTTCATTACTTTGTGCAGACTCAATGATATTACTCCCGCTAAAATCTTCCAATGAATCAATGCTAGAACTTTTTCTCTCAAGTTTCTCCCTCATACCATTCTTTGATCCTCTGTCTGATTTCTCCCTTCTACTAAGATTATCCCTTGGTCTCCTGGCATTAAGTGTATCACTTGTTTGCAATTTGGGAGGCAAATCATACCAATGGATATCAGATCTTGTCCTCTCTGTCCTTTTAACACCTGATGGAGAACCAGCTTTATGTTCATCTCGAAAAGGGTAGAGTGGCATACTTACTGCCGAAGCTCTGGCCATTGTCTTTGACCTCCTTCCTCTAAACCCTTCTTCAGCAAGAAGCTCCTCCAAAGACGTCGCCATTATGGCCAAGTCCAAAACCTTTTTCAGCAACAGATCCTGTTCCAATGAACTAAACTGTTAAAACACTTTCACTGCTAAATGCTACATATCGAGCTCATTTTAGTAATTTAACCCATAATTAACAAAGATTTCACACCAATTCAACAATATAAAATCAATTTTTTTCACCTTTCAAGGTTTGATTTACCATTAGGTACAGCATTCATTAAAATTTCAATCATAATCCTGCGATTGGGAGGTTGAAGATTGTTTGTCACATAGGTGATATTGGAGTACAAAGTGATAGAATGTAGTCATTTAAAGAAAAATTCATGGCCCAACACACAACTCCTGATTTTGTTTAAAATCCTATGATTGCAACTCCTTTCCAGAAGCCCTTTAATCCCATGTATAGCCAGGGAGCCATGCATTCCTCTCCGGCTAGGCTATCACGCTTCCAGGGTCCAATCACATCAATTAGCCACCAGTTTACAGAACAAGGAGTTAAGCAAGGGCTAGGAGGTTGATGAAAGAACCTGGCAGAAGTCAGTGTTGTTTTCAACTCCAACACATAAATATATACCACCAAGGTGTCTGTGACCCATTTTGAGTGCGATTAACCTCAAAATCAATCTTTCTTTCAAGCCAACAAAATTGGTCTTGCTGGATGCGGATGTGTATGTATATGTAGTACAAAAAAAAATTACCTATACTCCTTTATTGCCAATCGCACACAAAATCCACAATTAGATAGTCATAATACTTTAATCCAACAGATTGTTCAAACTATATAGATATATATGTAAAAACATGCATACTCACAACTAAACAGAAATATATATATATAATGACTTGCAACAAAGAAACCCCAAAAAAGAATAAAAAGAGCAGCTACCTTTGAGCTTCTTTTAGGCAAAATTTCAAGCAACTGACATGAATACAAGAATTCTCTCCAAGAATGGAATTACAAAGCAATATGGGTTTTGAATTTGGCAGAGAAATATTGAAAGATGAGCAGATTTGAGGAATATCAAATCCTCTTTGGTGGAAACAAGAAGAGAATAATTGAGATGCTGATCGAGGCAAAGCCATTTGTTTTGGGGGGTTGATATTATGGAAAAGAAACACAAGAAAAAACAAAGAGAGAGAAAGAGAGGGACCGATTACTATGGAGGATGGTTACAATGGGCAGCAAGGGAACGATGCAGAGCAGAGAGAGACAAATAAAAGATGACAAACGAGAGAGGTTAACAACTAAGAGTAGTGTTGTTGCAAACCATGCCTATGTGGTTTTATTACGCATCTTGCAGGCCATCAGTCTATTCAAGGTTTGTTTCTGTCGCTTCCCCTCGCCTCCCCTCGTTCCTCGATGGACGGCATATTTTAAACCTATATATCACTCTCCGACAATTTTAAATTTAATTATCATCCTACAACAGTTTTAAAAGCACACTTAATAATTTCGATTTCTTTTAAAAGTATAATCGACAAATGCGATTTTATATGGTAAAACGGAATTAAAAAATTTAAATTCATGTTTAAACTTATTTACTAATCTATAACACTTTTTGAAAGCGAAATTAACAATTCTGTTTTTAATGATAAAAAAAAAATAGAAAACGTAATCAATCTCACTACAACACAGTGCACATCTTCCCATTTCTTCCCGAGTCTCAAGCAATGCACTCTAGCATCACACTGCACACATTTCTAGCATCATTTCATTCCATAAGATCATTTAAACTATCACTTGTAAAACAACAAGGATTCAATTATTCTATTAGGACATAAAAATTAAATTCATTCAATATTCATTAATTAACAAACTTGATTCAATTATTTTATTAGGACATAATTTTGAGATCGTTAAATATTAATCAATTAACAAACTTGATTCCGTAATTTTATCAAGACATAATTCAGTAACATAATTTTGGGACGAATTTAATTTTATGGTTTATAAATTTTGCACAATCCAAATAAATTGATTATTAAATTTTAAAAACTTACAATTGATTTTTAAATCAATTTGATCAAATGAAAAAATAATTATATCATCTAACATATTCAAAATAAATTTTGGTTTATTGGATAATATTTTTTATGAATTAAAATATTAATTATAAAAATAATTTTTTTAAATGTTCAGGCTCAGATTTTTAAGTTAATTTTTTATGCTGATCTCTTTTTTTTACAAGTTCCACCACCACTGGTATAAGCACTATTTTATTTAATAGTACTATTTTATTTGTGATTTTCATGTCATTATTTTATTATATTTATTATTTATAAAATCTTTGTTTTTATTAGCTAATAGTTTTACCAAAAATATAATTGATGTAATGAAATGAAATGACAAAGTATATCATTGACTCCTTGCATGTATGATAAAAAATAACCCACTGCTTTCCGCGGAAGATAGGAAAAGAGGTGTGCTTTGTTGGTGCATGAAAGCATATTCCTTGAGTATGCCTTTTAATTTTAATTTTAATTTAAAAAAAAAAACAAAAGTGGGGTTATTAATTCCGTTTTTATTATTAAAAGCTAAATTATTGATTCCGCTTTTAAAAAGTGTCGCAGATCAGTAAATAAGTTCAAACATGAATTTGAATTTCTTGATTCTGCTTTACCATATAAAGTCGTATTTGTCAATTTCGCTTTTAAAAAAAATAAGAATTGTTAAGTCTGTTTTTAACACTGTCGTACAATGGTAATTAAATTCAAAACAGCTGTAAATTGGTATATTTGTTTAAAATATGTGGTACATTGGTAATAGAGTCCTCCTTCTTCTCTCACTCTTGCTCTCTCGCAGTATTCTCGCTAATTTAGTTATTTTGGTCTATCAGAATTTTGATTGGTTCATCATGTCTTTGTCAACCAGGACTCGGTATCATGCTATCATACATACACCCAAAATTAGTCGATTCATTGGATTCAATTAATTGATACCAATTCAAATCTCTTTGAATTTTTTTTTCTATCCAATAATAACAAGTAAGAGGCTCACTTATATATAATAAATTTTAATTAATTTTTTTTTATAGATAATCTATCTACAAGAGAATTTGAGAAAAATAAATTAGAGAATATCATATATGTATTTGAAAAGATCTTATTTCATCGACACATAGAAGTAGTACGTTTCAGAAACAGAATAATCCAAATTTGAGTGACTTGTACTTTTTATACTTTACAAGTTTTGCTTAACTTGGTCAAGTTATTTGACACTCTGTCAATCCATATGTCTCTAACTTAGGGTGTTGTAACTTTGATTTGAATCTGTCTATCATTTTAATTTTTTGTTCTTAATTGTTTTTTCTATCTAGTATTTCTTGCATCTCGTCACTTACCATCATATGATACCACAACTGACTCGTTCTAGTGGCATTCGAGTGGATGAACCATGCGAAGCGAAAGACCCAATAATTTTAACCATCAATTTTTTTATTTGTGTTTTTTTATAAGAAACGATAAAACTTCCATTAATTAAAGATGTGAAATATCTGTTCGGGTGTTCCCTCTCTTCACACAATTCCACTGCCACTTTAGCTTCAGAAAAAGCAGCCCCACACTTGCTCAAAATTAATCCACGCGTACTTGCTATAAAACAGCCATTCCAATATCACTAATGTTATTAGGACATAGTAAGTTGTCACCAATGAAATGATAGTGAAATATATTTAATAATAGGTCTCATAGTAGCATTAAATGAATTTATTATCATATCATTGGTAATAACTCATTATATCTCTAAATTATGTCTATAAATTATGTCCCAATAACATTGCTCTTCCAAGATCCCTGCGGCATGCTTCTCCACAAATATTGCTCCCTTAAAATCAACTTTGAAGATAGGGCTTTTACCTGACCCCAAAAAAAAAAAAAAAAAGGATTTTTTTGCATTTTATACGTTGCAAGATTTTAAAATTTTTATTTTACACTTTTAAAAATTAAATTTTTTACATTATACCCTCAATGTATCAAAAATATTGTAATATGACACTTCTGTTAGTTTCAGTTATTTTTTCTGTCAAAAGTTAATCATTGACACTGACAGCAAAATAATGAAAAACTAATAGAAATGTCAAATTATAATACTTTTGATATATTGATGGTGTAATGTGAAAAATTTAACCTTTAAAGATATAAAATAAATTTTCTTAAATCTTTTAGGGTGGAAAAGACAATTTGCCCTTGAAGATACATGTAGGGGAAGCAGACCACCAAGAAGGTTAAAGTATAGTCTGCTAAAGCAATACTCGTTTATTCGATGCTTATGCAACTTGGAACCGACTCGGATAGGAAATCGAAAACCAACTACTTGCTGCAGATAATTTATTACCTCTTTGTTCAACCTTGCCGCAGATAATTTATGGATTCCTGTTGTTTACCGCATATAAAAAAAAACTTATTGTGCCATGTCCCAAATTTATAAATAAACATTATCCAACTAATAACTTTTAAATTTATGAGAATATTGATGGGTCAAGCCCCAGTTGTAAGTCCAGTTTAAATTAAGAGCCCAACTTAAGAGTGATCCAGTAAGTGTAGCTCGAAGGGGTTCACGTCTCGTAAAGCTCATCAGAATTTGAGGGGCTACATCATCACAGGAGCGTATAAGGTCATCCAAGAGCCTCATCCTCTTGCCACTTTGTAAATAGTCAACTCTTACCTCATCTTTGACCGAATCTCATAGAGAGCACCGTAACTGTCTCGCCCGTTGAGAAGAGATCGTCAACTCCACCAGATTAACTATTTAGTTACTATTAAGTCTCCCCAACCGGTTAGGAGGCGACGATAAATTGTAAACCCCACCAACACTTGGGGGGCGTCATATTCAGTCGAGCACAACTCTCCTCTCTCTCTCAGCTTGTAACTCTCTACTCTCCCTACACACTTGAGTTAATAACATATCCAGCGACCCTAAAGTGGACGTAGATCACATTGATCGAACCACTATAAATCTTGTCTTGCTTTTGTCTCTATCTCTCACTTATTAATTACTACAATTATTACTGTTCATATGACAGGTGTTGTAAAAATTTAATTTTTGTATCATCAGTTTGGCGTCATCTGTGGGAAAGACAAAATTCTCATTTCTAAACACTTACTTTGTTGAATCTATAGTGATCACCACCCGATCGATGAATCAACCTCAGGATAATCCACCACGAGAAGAGGAGGTTGCTCCTTCACCAACCAATTCTATCCCAAATGCACAGTAGATGCTAGAGACAATGCAACAGCTTGTGACCCAAAACCAGCAGATGTTGCAACTCGTGCTTGTCAGACAAGAAAGAGCATGGCTTGATCTGAAATGTGTACACTCAAGTGTAGCGCGGTCAAGTTGTAATAATAATCTGGTGAAGTCCGAAGTCGAATCCACAGGGAGCTATGATTAGTGTTTTGAAGTAAGCAGTAATAGAGACCAAGTGACTTTTGAAAATTTTGCGTGTTTGTAGTGGTTGGGCTTTATTGATTAGAATAGAAGATTCTTTTCAACAGTTTTCTAGACAAAATATAAGATTCTCAAAATGTAACAGTTACCCTTTAGCTCGATGATTAGAGCATGTAATTGATTATCCGATTTATTATGTTTGTGCTC